TGATTTTTTATAATCCATATTTTCTCCTAAAACAATAAAAAATATACAGTAAAAACTTTCTTGTTCACTATTTTGCAGCAAGCTTATTTATCATTTTTGAAAGTTATGTAAAAGGATGTAATCTAATTCAGTTTAACCGTCTTTTACATGTGACACAACCTGTCCCGTCTCCCCACTGTTCAGTCCTGTCTTTCCTAATTGCTCCCACCTGCCTCTCGTCTTTAGATCTCAGCTCCTTGTGTATTTAAACCCTCCCAGTTCTGTGTTCCTTGTCTGACCATTGTTTACATGTCTCGTGTGCTTTATCATTAAAAACTCTTTAAACGTTCCTGCCAGCCTTCTTCCCCGCACCTGGATCCTCACCTCCGCTCAACTCACCTGCGCACCGTGACAACTTGAGGTACTTTGTCCTCATAATGGACAATAAGCTCTGTGAATTTGGAAATATTTGCTCTTGACTGCCTAAGGGAAACAGAATATTTTAGGTTAACATAATTTCCCACAACACCCATTTCACGTGGAGCATGGTGCGCTTGATGTAAACAAACTGGCTGCTGCTACTATCTAATGGATATGGAGCGATCACTGGCTGCTCGTTAGCCACGGCTGGTGAAGGAGGGCTGGCGAGTCGGGGACACGCTGTGGAGATCAAGTAAACAATGATGACTTAGCCATCAGCTAATCGTGGCTCACGGCTGGCGTGGTGGAGATGGGCATCACAAGCTACTTATAGCCCTAGCTAGAGCCGGGGAGACGCGGTGTATGCTGTGCGTAAACTCCCACGGATTACCAGCCAAAGGAGACCCAAGTCTAAAGTTAGTGTTTAAGAAGAAGCCCTCGGGGAAGCACGTTTGTAACACGTGGAGAACTACATTGCCATTAGTAAAGTGTTTGTGGAGATCAAGTAAACAATGCTGATTTAGCCACTGGCTAGCGGACAAGCTAGCCAGTGGCTAGTAGTTGGAGTGTGTTTGGAGAGACGGCAGGCTGCAGGAACGAACAGAACAAATGCACAAGAGAGGTGACTTGAGTAGAAGGACTTTGGAACGGACACGCTGGGTCTGGTTCGGGAGTTCTGGTACTGAGAAAAGACAAATGAACAACTTGAGGTGAGATTGGGAGTCAGAGATACTAATCGGAGGTTGGTGTCCAGCTAATAGCGGGCGGGGATCTGAACATATGCGGTTTCCTTGTGTTGGACATGATGACGACCTGACAAATTTTATGTATCTTTTCATTTAATAGTTTTTTATTCAAACCAACAAGTACAGCAACGGTGTAGATATTCTTTTCTACTTCTCAGTTGAATTGGCAGACTCCATGCTTCCAGGGCACACTGCTGCCCTCTGTTGGTTCTTTCAGGTTCCAGTCATAGTCCATACGGGTAACGTGGAGCTCGTTTGTCCCTAAACAGCTACTGTATTTTAAGATGGTGGATGACCATGGAACGTCGACCAGTTTATGTATTTAAAATGTAAATTTTCAAGTTGAGAGGAATATTTAGAATGGATGTTGGTGAGAAATATTAGTGAAAAAGGACAAGTTTGTGAACTGGAAACAGGATTTTATAGCAAACAGGTAGAAATATCACACACTGGGCCTTTAAGATTTTTTTTCTTTTTCTTCTTCTGTACTGATCTGCTTACATCATGCTTCCAAATCCACTCTCAAGATGTATAAGTTCTGTTGAGTGTGAGATTGTTGTAGTTTAGCCATTTTCACTGAGGTAAATGCCACAAAATATCATCAATGATGTTTTTTGGATCTCTGTTGTATGTGTCTTTAATTTTCTCCCTGCAGCATCCAGCCCTTTCTCCACATCGAGCCCAGACACCAGCACAGTTCCTGCTTCCTGTCAAGGGATTAGCACTCTTCCTGATATTGCAAAGCTGGCTTGGTATTTCACAGCATCCTTACTTAAAAAAAACACCTCCCCTTCCTGTCTTCCTCCTCCCCCTCCTCCTCACTGTTCCACCCAGTCCTGCCACCTCAACAATGAAACCCCTGAGCCTCTTCGTCTCTTCCTCTCTCAAATCGATGCTAACACATTGTGCTTTATTTTTTCCAGAAGAGATTTCTGATAAAAGTCCTCAACAGGTGGGAAAATATGGAAACCAAAACCATTATTTTTTTATATAAATATGAAAGCAAACAAAAGACATTTTATTCAAAATGTGAGTCGAACCATCAACTAACTTGTCTGAAGCTGATGTGCTTTGAGAGTTTTATGACAGACACATGTTGAGATTTTTTTACAAAGATGTTGAGAAATCTTTTTTTGTCAACTTTCACATCAACTGGTCACCAAATAAATATATTTTTTAATCTGTTCATCCCATTAGGGGAGAATTATAAACAATCCAAATGTATGACCAAATTAAAAAGTTGAAGACATTTTAAACATTCAAAGAGTTAAAAAATATTAGCTTTCCCACCAGACTCTGAAGTTTACTCTGCAGGTCTCAGCAGTCAAAGTTTCCAGCTCTGATTCATCGTTCCACAGCTGGACTGGGTTGGGATCATGACACCAAACAGTTTTTTTCCTCATGAGTTTATGAAACTAATTTTCCCAAATTCACCACAAGTTTAAACCGCTAAGAACATTCAAGAATTAGGTGAGTTCAGCTTTCTGCCAATGCTGACATTTAAAGACATCTGCGCAGAAACAGCTGGTAACTGGTCACCACGGCAACCCGCATTCCTTTACATGGGAGTAATGAGAACGAGGGAGCTGTAGAAGAGCTGATGGGAGGGAGACGGGGGAGAAAAATGCTCCTAATGCTCTTTTCTCAGCCATACTGAAATGTTATCCCTCAGTACTCCCCTCCATACCCATCATTCTTTTTTTTGTTGCATTTTTTTCCCACAAACAGCATTAAAGTTTTTCTCCAAACACAAAAACATTGAATACATTACTGTTTCTGCAGCCAGGTATAAATCAACCGCTTTACTAATCCGACTTGTAGGAATTCAAACAGAAAAGCCTGTCTGCATCCCTCCACCCCCAACACAATCCTCGTTCCTCCTCCTCCTCCTCTTCCCCCTGTTGCCGATGTGGCACACAATAACTTCAGAGAATAACCCCCTAAAAACACACTGTTTACCTAATTAGAAAGATTTTCTTTGCAGCTGTTTTAACAGAAAAAAGCCACATTCAACACTAGCAAATGAGAACAAATTTAAATGAAAACAGATGCTTGCTGAGAATTAAAAATGTTTTTAAAATAAATTTGATCCATTTTTGAAACTCTGAAATAAAAACCCAGGATAGTTTCTTCTTTGGAGGAAGCAGATATCTTTAATCACTGATGAGAATATGTTCTTTTTACTGCATGATTTCTTACAAAGAATATCAGAGTTTTCAGTTTTAATCTTCAGCTAAACAAAGAAACCTATTGTATGAGAAGCTGATTGAAGAGTGAGACCTCTTACCTTCAGCTTTGCAGAGCAGACAGACCAGGAGAGAAGTCAGCCGTGTGCAGGACCCCGGGACAAATCTAACCAACCCACAGGATCACACTAAAGACATTTCCAGAGGGACGTCCCAGTCTGAACACAACTTCCTCCCAGTTCAGTCCAAACCTCAGCCTACTCCTGCACCAGTGGGAGGGGCTTAAATGCAAAAGCTGCCACAAACAGAACAATATGTTTCAGGACACGTTTCTAATTATTTTACTGTTGTCTGTAGATTAGGTTTAGGTTTCAGGCATGAGTATTTATCCAAATATTAATAGATATATTTATGATGCAATAATTAGATTTTAATAGTTTATTCTAATACAAGTCAAGGTTTTTATTGTTCCTAAATGATAACTATGATGAACGTAAATGTTCAAATATAGAAAGATATTTTTGAGAAACTGTAAAAGCAAAAAACAAACGTAGATGTGAATATAGTCAACTGTAAACATCCAAGGTTGAAGGCTTTCATGTATGTAACATTATCAGTTTTATTAGAGATAAAACCAGTAGAAATCTTTATGACATGATAGTTTAGGACTATTTTGTCTAAATACTTGACCTGCAGCTCAAAGCAATCATCATTCTTGAGCTTCTAACTGACTCCAGCAGCATCTGTTTGTGGTTTCTCTTTTTAATCAGTCACAAATATTCGAGACAATAAGAAATGTTTATACTTTCACTTTATTTTATTAGATTTTTAGAATTGCATTTTGCGTTTTGGTTTCTGAGGTTTGTCGTGTTCCCAGGTATTCCCGGTTTTATTGGTTTGCCTGGTTTTCTTCCTGTAGTACATTTTCTCTGTACACCAAGTACACAGACTGTTCCCACTTCCATGTGTAAAGATGGTGTTTGTTGACTTCATTGACCTTCAGAGCTTTGCTGGTTTGTGAACCAAATTTGGGGTTTCTTTTAGATCTGCTTTTATTTATTTTGATGCCCTTATTGTTTTGCCATTTTCTGCAGGATTTGTTTTCACTTGGTAGTCTGTGGAGAATTGAATTCACTTTGGATTTATTTTACATCAAATATGATGATAATTCCATATTATGAACAGTTTAAAGAAATAGTTGAAATTGTAATTACTTTTCTGAGGGCATTCTAATTTTGTAACAGTGTAGATTCTAGTTAAAGGGGACATACCGCATTATGATATTTTTCTTAAAGCGGCCATTCACTGGGAAGCCATCTTTTATCTATTATTTTTGAAAATGATTGGTCATGAAGGTCTTTGCTCTAAATCCTTCTCACATAAAGCAATCTCTGCAGTTTTATTTATTTATTTATTTATTTTTAATCTTTTATTTCATTCACAATGTATAAAATAAACACAAACAAATACAACATACATTAACATATTGAAAAAAAACATTTGAATGAAAAGGAGCAGATAGAAGAAAAAATCTTATGATTTCTGCCCCTTTTTACGAAATAAAATTATCCGCCAAACAAACACAGTGTAACCTCAGTCACTTTCTAATATTTTCACGTCTAATCTTTGACATTATAATTCTCCTTTTCATAATTACTAAATACATTAGATTTTATACATTTTTTAAATATTGCAAGTGTAGTTGATTCTTTAAATTCCTTGTTAATGGCATTCCACAATCTTACACCGTTTACAGAAATGTTACATTCCCTAACTTTGGTTCTGAATCTAGGTTTCTCAAAGACATCAGTTCCTTTTAACATGTACCCACTTACCCTCTTATGAAACATTTTCTGAATATTAGTTGGTAGATTACTCGTATTCGCTCTGTACATTATTTGCAATATTTTCCACTCTACCAAGTCAGGAAATTTCAGTATTTTGTATCTAATGAATAATTGATTAGTGTGAGCTCTATAGTTACTGTTATTATTCTCGACAGTTTCGTTATCTTCCAGCATGAGCCATTTCTGGGCACTTTAAAAAAACAAGTTGGAGCTGGCCACGCCCACCCAAACCCCACTCGAGCTGCTGTAGGCTGAGAAGCTCGGATTTTTTGGAAGAGTTCTGAGTAGAAATTCTAATTCTCTAGCCTAGAAAGGTGAAAGCTGGTTCTATTCTAATTTTCTCATTTGTGACATCACAGATGGGCACTTTTTGAAATGGCTCGTTTTGGGCATGACATTTCTAAGTCAAGTAACTACAGAAAACAGATGGATTTTTTTTTTCACGATTGATGTAGAGACCCACATGGCAGCACAAACAGATGCAAAAGGTGAGTGTCAGAAATGGGGAATAAAAAAAGGCTTGTTTTAGGTGCATAATTCTTAAAACCAAACACTGACAAAAACTGGACGACATTTCCAGGATGTTACAGCTTGTTTCTTCCCTGAAACGTAAACTCTTTACAGGAACATTTACAACTCAGAGAAAACTTTCAGCCCCCTAGAGATTTCACATGAAGCTTTCAGCTTGTGGAGCATTTAACTCACTACAGCTCAGCTTTATGAGTCAGTGTTCAAACACCTGCAATTGTCTCACATAAACCATTCAAACTTTGAAGCATTTCTCACAACTTTGACTTTAGTTTTCTTATATCATTTTCTCCACTGGGATCTGACTTTAACTAGAATTGTGTGTACTGAAACTCTAATTTCCCTCTGGGATTAATAAAGTATCTTTGAATTTGAACTGAATTTGAATTTGGACTCCGTCTCTGCTTCCACAGCACAGACGGGTGATGATGTGAAGAACAGCTGGATGAGGGAGAAGTAAGGGAGGGGAAAGGCTACAATGCGACGTGGCATTTTCCATTTTGCCTGGAAGTCCAGCTGCTGATGGAGAGAAAGGAGGAGGTGTTGTTTTAACATGGAACTCTTTCTCTCTCTCCTCTCCTCCTCCATCAGATTTACTCCAGTCTGACTTTGTTTTAATCTCCTGCCTCTCCTCACACACCCATTTCACTCTGCCATCCTCCCACCTTACCCTCTCATGAAAGCGTGGCAGTTGTGCCTCAGTGTTTTCCACAAGATTTTTTTTTTTTGCACCAAACTGTAATTATGTCTTTTTTTTCTTTTTCTTTTGCTGATAAATCATTTAAGTGCAGCTTTGCAGGTTTAAACAAGCTAAAACATGAAAGAAAGGGCTTGAGTTCTTTAATACGGCCTCACGCTTTCACAAAGGTTAGTCATTAAATTATGCGGCTGAGCACATGCCTCTGTGCCACGTCATGGAGGCTAAAAGAAAAAGTTTTGCAAGGAAAAAAAAACTACAAGCCACTCTGTGCCTTTTCTGTTTCTGTGCTGTCTGCTGCTGCTTTCAGGATCACTGTTCTGTTTTATGACCCAGTTTGGTCCAAGCTGCTCAACAGATGGTCTTTGGTATTCAGAGGAGATCTTGGTCAACTCAGCAATGACAGTAGGGCAGGGGTGTCAAAGATGCGGCCCGTGGGCCGAATCCGGCCCGCAGGCAGGTTAAATCCGGCCCGTGAAATGGTTGTGTAAACTTTATTTTCATACTATACAATGTAGAGTGCAAATAAACTTATCTTTGTGAGCAAGTTTTCTCTGTAATGAGTATAAATAAAACAAAGCTGCGCTCAAGGCTCACACAAGAACTTGAATCACATCCTGAAGTTGGCCGCCACTCAGGATGTGACTTCTGATATTGATGTGCTGGTGAAAGCTAAAAGATGTAAAGTAAAATGAGTCTAATATACTTTAAGTGCTGCATGAAACTGATCTAGCCATGTGATCTGTAAGCTCTGAATCACTAAGGAATGTTTTTTTTTATGGATTGATTTTTTTATTTTATTTTTCCAAATTTTCAAGTACACTTCAGGTGTTGTACTTGTACTATTTTGGATACACTGACCTCAGGCTCCAGCCTTGTTTTATATTGACTGTATTAAAACAAAGAAAACAATCTGAAGTTGTTTTTAATTTACCGGTCTGGCCCACTTAGGACTAGATTTCCCTCAATGTGGCTCCTGAGCTAAAATGAGTTTGACACCCCTGCAGTAGGGTGTCAAAATCAATATGGTAAATGGCCTGTATTTGTATGGCGCCTTCTGAGGGTTCTATGACCCCTCAAGACACTTTAAACACAATCAGTCATTCACCCATTCACTGTGTGGGGACGGTGTCACAGCTGCCCTGGGGCACAAAGCAGCAGATGACAGAGGCGAGGCCTGCCGTTCACAGGTGCCACCAGTCCCTCCGACCAGCAGGCAAGGCGGGTTAAGCGTCTTGCCCAAGGACATAACAGCAGCATTCTCTGCCAGGAGCTGGGATCAAACCTGCAACCTTCTGATTACGGAAAAACCCGCTCTACCTCCGCTAATGTTTATTAGCAAATCTGCAGATTTTCATCAGTTGTAGACTACCCATATCCTATTTATGATTTATAATTTATAATTATAACACACACATAATTTATATCATCATCAATTACATTATCTCATCGCCCCACCCACAAAACCCCACCAGCACCATTTATAATAATCACAAGTCAGCAGAGTCGTATTTTTCTCTTTAATGTGTGTTTTGCCTTCTTCAGTCAAACTGAGCCTCCTCTCCCTCCAGCTGCAGCTTCACACAGCAGCACCAACAAGCTCCTTTTTTGGAGTCCTTTAGACTCCAAAACCTTTTTAGAAGTGTAAACGATAGCTTGTCCTTGCGTTGAATCACAACATTTTAAAATAGGAGCTGAAATTGAAAAACATCAGAACAACCTCAAAAATGAAGCAGTTTATGAGAAACTGTGCAGACTTTAACTGGTTGCATGTTTCCAGGTCTGGTCTGTTGTTCGGTCTCATTATCGAGTACAGAGCTAAACGTTCTACAGGTTAATCTTTGTTTTTCTGAGGGGATGGATGCTTGAAAAGCAGCAGAACACTGTTTTTCCAGTCCAGATGTCATTTAGTCTTTCCTCAAAGCAGTCTGACTGAGCCGCCACATTTACATCTGATGGAGGGTTTCAGGCTATAATTGCACCATAGACACAGAGAAGCTCACCACTAACACTACTCCACAGGGTTGGGAGGATTTGTAAAGGACACGCTGTCGCCCACAGACGGTTTCTAGGATCAGCCTCAGCCAATAACAGGAACTAAAGGATACAAAGAGCAAATGTGAAGTCACTTAAAAAAATGCTTGTTGAGAAGGTGATGGAACATGCTCATTATAAAAGTGATTTAATTTATTTCACAGATATGTC